CTCTCTCTCTCTCTCTCTCTCTCTCTCGTCCTCGCTCTTTCTTCTTCCCACTTTCTCTTTTTCAAACAAAAAAGCAGCCTCCATACACTCACCCACACACCACAACACGGTCCAGCACCAACTGTAGAGAGCACAAGCACCCTCCAGGAGTCAAACAAGAGACTCCCAACACCCACCACCAACCTCCTCGGTCCCCCGCGAAGCAGCGGAGATGACCACGCAGATAATGGTAACACCAGCAGACCGTGGACCGTCCAGTTAGGGCGAGCGCGGGGCGGGAGAAAGCGGTGAAATCAGGCAGAACAAGAGCTCCCCGTCGGCTCGCGCCAAACCTGGTGGACGGCGCACGGGGACACGGAAAGGGTTTTTACCTCGAGAGTCCTCATGGCATCCTCCAAGCTGCAGTGACGTGTCTCTCTCGGGGTGCTCCACGAGGCGCAGAGTGGCCGGCGTGGAGAGAAAATGGACTCGTGAGCCAAAGCAGTGGTAGTAGATGCTTTATTGATAGCTGTCAGAACGATGTCGTTTGGACGAAATGGAAGCTTATTATTAACAGTTGAGGGGCTGGCTTGTGCGGGGGTAAGAGCTGTCCAAAACCTGTAGCTTTAACAATCAGCGGTGTTGCTCGTCACCGGAGTTCATTACAACCTGTCAGAGCTGGTTTAGTGAGGTCCCCTATTGTGGTGAGGAGCGGAAGGCAACGGAATTAGAGTAAGTGAGGGTGGAGACAAGTAGCTCGAAGGACTACAGATAGCAATCCGAGTGCAAAGCGATGCTCAGTGTGGCGAATTTATTGACACCAATACTGGCCTGACTGACACGTCGGCTCCCCTTCCCCACAAACACACACACCTTTCCATCTCCATCTCTTCCGTGTCCCAGTGCCATGCCGAGAGCCAAGGTTTTCATACTTCGAAATGATTATTCCAGGCCAAACGTTAAATGCGTTCGACATAGTAAAGCTTAAAAAGAACAGCAGCCCCCGCCCACAAACAAACAAACAAACAAACAAACAAACAAACAAACAAACAAACAAACAAACAAACAAACAAACAAACAAACAAACAAACAAACAAACAAAAAAGTTGACATTAAAAAAAGAGAAAATCCCT